AGCCCACAAATCAAAGGCACAAATATATTCGGTTGGTTCGGTTCGGGTCGGTTTGAAAAATTGTCAACCCGACCCGAACCGCCTTACTCATAAAACCGTTTTTTTCGGGTCGGTTCGGTCGGTTTTTTCGGTTTGAACCGAACCGTGCTCACCCCTAGTGAACCCCCCTCCAACAAACTCTCAGTAAGCTCCCAAGGGGCTCCCTGGGCTGATGTGGCCAGTGGGGCCCACCGGAGCTCCCAAGCATTTAAAAAATTTTTTGTTTACAAAAACCCTCCTATTTTTAAACCCAAAACCCAAGTTGAAAATAGTTGTTAAATGGAAGAAGGTTTTTTCGATATTGTTACAAAACTAAAATAGAAGAGGATTTTTTTTGATATTGTGGGGAGTTTGTTGGAGATCAACATTAGTTAGTAGGGTGATGTAGCATTAGAAATGGTGGGCCATGTCTTGAGAGCTCTTGGGAGCTCTTGGCTAAAAATGGGTTATTTCGGGGCTCTTAAAAGTCAATAACTCATTAAAATCTTTTTTAAAAAAATTTTGGGAGTCAGAATAAATCCACTCAGGGTGTCTATTCGCACAAATACGACCTCATGAAATCTGTTCGCAATTGGGTGATATTACATCGGGCCTATTAGCAATTAACCTTTAAAAAAATAGTTATACCCGAAAAAAACAAATAAATTAATCTTTTTTTTTTGAAAAAAAAGACTAAGCGCTCTTCGGACAGGCCGCTACAAATCCATCCGAACAAATCGGACGTCCGCACCACGCGAGAACTACTAAGCCGTAGCGCACTGGACAGGAAGCGGTGCAGCGACGGGAATAAATCGCCCAATGTCGCAGGAAAAAATCGTCGACCGAGCTTCCAATTCGACGAGGAGAAGGTCGCCAAGATGCAGTCGGCTACGCACGAGAGAGGGGCCCGCACATCTGAGCGGAGTCGTCAAAAATCCAGGGTCGCCCGGGACCAGGGAAGCAGGCAGATCGTAGTAAAGGGGCAGGCCGTCCGTTCGAACCGGGTCAAGACAATCGGGCTGAGCTCCTTCGGCGCAGCATCGCCGGCTCGATTTCACGTTCGGCGAGAAACCGGCGGCTTCTGCGCGGGGGAGAGCTTTCGAAGCCCGAAGGACGGAGGTCGGGGAGTGGGAAGCTCGCGGCACTCGTACGCCCAAGTCCGAGTGAGGAAAGTTGGTGGTGGCGTGGCGGGCCGGACGGAGTTGGATGCGCGGAGTCGTAGACCCTGGCGGCTGCCTGCTGGCGGAGTGTCGTAACGTCGCCCAGCCACAAGCGGACGCGCGGCCAGGGTCGCGGATCTGCCGCCGCGTATTCCCGCCAGCCGGGCGACGGCGCACGGACCCCGCGGAATTTTCGGTACCCCTGCGGTCCGTCTCCGCGGCCCGGCGGGGGGGGCCGCCTCGCTTTCTCCGTCCATGTGCCTTCCGGCGAGATTTTTCTTTTTGTGGTGGTGTTGGGACTCGGAAGCGGGAGACTTCGTGACGGTAGGCGCTTGACTGCTTTGGGCGGGGGCATGAACGCTGGGGCCTCGTCGCCATCGTCGAGGGTCGGAGTCGCGTGGCGTCCGGGGTCCTCGCGCAGACGATGCGGAACGGTTCTTGGACTGGGAAAGGGCCTGGATATTTGCTTGGGGAGGGGTTTTGAGATCACACGCAGCTCCTCCGTTCGCTTCACCGGTTTTTCCATAGCTGCATTTGCTCTGATCGAAACCTGAAATAGGTGAGGAAGGGGTTAGAAAAATTAAAGGCGGCATGAAAAAGGAAAGTTTTTTTTTTCCTTCTGATTTTGCAATGGAAATAGTGATAGACAAGGGAAAAGAAGAAAGAGATTTTAATGGGTTTTTTTGGGGTTTACCTTTTGGAGAGAGAAATGGCTAAAACCCTTTTCGTGGGTTTTACACAGGAGTTGCCAAGATACAGTAGTAGCTTATGACCTCTGCTGCTTCGTATGTTGTCATTTTAGGAAGAAGAAGGGGAGGAAAAAAAAAACCCAAAGGATCAAAAGGTTTGTATTGTTTTTTTTTAGAGAGAGAGAGAGAGCGAGAGAGTCTCAACCTTCCAAACCTCAGAACAACAAAAATTTGAGGCACAGAGGGTGGAGGTTGTGGGTTGCAGACGCCGAGGCTTTGACGTTTTTATAGGATCTGAACAGACTAAAAATGGAAAACGCGGCTTTACTATTTTCCATAAAACATGGTGATTTTTCTAACTTCCCTTTTTGCCCCCCACTACCTTTTATGCAAAATTTACTATTTCACATTACTTAACAAAATTATTAAATTAACAAAATAAATAAATAAACAAATAACATTTAGATTTTTAATCGGTGGAAATTCTGCTGAACAGAGTCTAACTCTTTTCTCACCCTGATAGGAGTATATGGTTCTAATAAGATTCCTACTGTTACAATCATCAGAAGCATGTACATGATTTGAGATTTTGGCATAATGTTGGTCGTCATGTGATTGGTCGTATGAACATTAAAGTTAAATTGTTAAGCAAAATTCATGGGTCAAGCAATCTACTGTGTGAATTAGCTAATTTTTGGTTGGTAATTAACTTGAGATGGCTAGTTAATCTTTTGTAATTAATTTTAGCGAGTGAGCAAAGTTTTCACTAATAGCAATTTTGAATTTCTAATTAATAAATTTAGTACTGTCTGAGTAGAAAGGATTTGTCACGTTGAGCGGCGTGTGAGTTGGATCTCTTTGACCCATAAGTGATGTGAAATGTTGAATTATAATTGGACTATTTTGTTTAGAATGATTACAAATGAAATCATTTTCCAACAAAATAGACACTTGGAACAGTTGCAAATGAAATTTAATTATTTTTTGATGAATAACGTATGGTGAATGAAATTATTAGAAGGTCCATCCAATTCAAAAATGGCTAGAATTAGAAGATTAAGATTACACTGTTATGAGAGCGTAGACACTGATAGTGGTTTTAGGAACGAAACGTCAAGTTTGTATTCGCAGATGTCCAGTAAATGTTAGAAAAATAATTGTGATACTTCAATTATAGTTATGACTTTAGCTATGTCCTTACCTTGAAAGTAAGACAATCATGAATCACTTTCTGTTTAAAAGAAAAGAATTGTTTGGATATGAAATTAGAATATATTTGTTGTAGAAAATAATGGCAACATTTCTTTTTGTCTCTCCTTTGTCACTTTATGAGAACTCATCAAATAACAAAGCAAAATGTTCTATTAGCACATTATATTTTATTAATTAATATGACATATTTAATTAGATAAAACGTGACTTATAGTTTAGTAGGAAAATTGTGCTTTCGCAAAATTAGAATCTTTAATCTCTTTGCTGAAGACTGAAAATTTGAGCTCGTGTCAAAGAAAAAAAAGGTAAAAAAACGAAATAAAATGAAGCACTCTTATATTTTGACAGCATGAAGCTTTATCAATTACAACAAGTAATATTTCAATCTTATACACTTGACATAAGAACTAGTTATTTAGACTAAAAAAATAAAATAAAACTTTCATTTATCCGTTCATGTGCTGCCGACAGCAGTAAACATTAGAATCAAAATTTTAAAAACTACCATATTTTTTTTTCTAATTTCAATTAATCTTTACCATATTAAATATTTGCCATATCTCTTGAAATTTCAAGGGCATAATTGTCTCTTCCTACCATGATTTCCTTAAGAAGAAAATTCTCAAAATCAAAATTGAAGGATACACTGAGATTTATTTCCAATAACAAAATTATGTATATTTTCAACTATAATAACATTTTCATTTCTTGACCAAATTCTCGCATATCTCTACTCAAGTCCAAGTTAATCGCCACATGAATCGGTGCTAGTTTAATTACAACATTACCCTTCTGTGTCTCAATGTTGTAGTTTGTGTGCGATCAAGTCTTTTAAAAGTCTGTTTGGGGTTTGTTTCCTCCATGCCATTTATTTGGGAGGATACTTACCTAACTAGCTTGTTCATGCATTTTTGTCGACCTGAATCAGTAGGTATACAAATTATTTTCCAGCTATAATTGACACATAAATACAAAGAATACATGCTTTTGAAGCTCACGAACCTAATAATTAAAGCTGAGAAGGTGTTATTGCAAACAATGCTACGTGCCCACAATATGGTTCAAGCAATTTTTCATTCTCGCGTTATAGTTTACAAATTGGCTACTTTTAAGTATCACATGATTTTATAAAGGGAAAACAATTAATGTCAAATTTGTAAACTTCGAATATCAAATTGTCAAAATAGAACTTCGCGATATCAAAATTAAGAAACGATCGACCTTAGGAGTATCAAAATGCAAGCAAGTCATGGGTGTTTTGTATAGTAATAAACTCATGTGCTGTCTAAATTTATGCGACATATAGGGGGTGTTTGGCAATCTGAAAGTGAATTTAAAATATGTAAGTTACTTTTTTTGCAAACGACTTTTATATCCATGTCAGCATGTAAGTGAAACACAGTGTTTGTTTGAAAATTTAAATTATTATCGAAAGTGCAATGTGAAGATGACGTGGCAAAATAAGATTAATTAGAGAGTATAATTAAAATCATTTAATTAAATTAGTTACTTTTTTGTCACTTTCATGTGACTTCACCACTTTTTTAGAGGAAGTCAAAATTGCATTAAATCATATGTGACAACTTTCTTGCATCTCACTTTCATAACCACTTACATGAAAACAAACACCTTAATTGTTAAATAAAAGTAATTTTCTCACTTTCATCTTTCACTTGCATGCAAACAAACACCCCCATAGTGCACATAGAGAAAGAAAGTGAGAAAAAAAAAAAGCTTTTGACGAGGACAGCTGGCTATTTTGGTGAGCCTCCAATTGGTTACACTTTCGGCCCAAATCTGGCCGAGAGCAGGCTGTACGAGATTGTTTACGGGTTAACGGGTCGTCAATCCGGCCCAAGTAGCACCTCAATGTTACTACGCTTCCTCGTCGGGCACCACCGCCATACGCCCTCTCTCTCTCTCTCAATAAAATGAAAAAATATATATATAAAAGAGAAAAAAATCTAATTCTCGTTAAATTTTTTTAAGTACAGGGATCAATAGAATCTTCATAATTCAAAGGAATTTTTATTTAGAACAAAGAAATTTTGATGTCGGCTTCTTCATCGTCTGATACCAAAATGGGTATCGGAGAGCGCGCCCTCTCCGCTGCAGGCGCCGCCGTCCTCTCAGCAATCATAGTCAATCCCCTTGATGTTGCTAAGGTACTTGATTTCTGCTGTTTTTACCTTTAATTTTTTGTAAGAAATAATAAATTTGTTAGGTTGAGGTTAAATTTGTAGGAATATCTGCGTGTCTTGTGTCTCTTGTGAATAATTTGCTTGTAAATTTGACCCATTTATAAGAATATTTGTTCTGTGAGAAGCCTAACTGTGCATTTATCTCCAATTTTAAAGGCTAAATAGCTCTTCAGATTCCTTATAGCTTCCCCTATTTTGCACTTATATACCCTCCCTCATTTTTTCCGGCATTTGAATACCTTAATACTTTTGTTATTACAACGTGAGAATGTTCCCTCGAAATTCTCATATGTCACTCACCTGCTAGTTGAATTTATTTATAACCCTTCATTTTTGTGCCAATTAGCCTAGTTTTTAAGACGAGCACTTTCTTTTGGACCAAATTTTCATGGGACGTTTCATTTTCTTGCAATTCCAATCATGGTCAGTGGCTAGCAAAGACATCACCTGCAACTTAAGTGAGAACTACTTGGTTCCATTGAGATTGATGCCAGCCATGGGTGAATGTACAAAGAATCCAATGAGAAATGGATATATAGAAAACAAAAATAATGTCAAATAATATCTCAGACCCCTGTAAATCGAACTCCCAAAAAAATTCAAGTTCAAACATGCTGTAGAGAGAATAAGGGAGGAATCTATTCCTTAAGAACTCTCAACTCTGTTCCTCTGATTCTTGTCACATAACATACTTTGTTTAGTTTTCTCTGTCTTAACTTCTTTGATGTGAAACTCGTCAGTGATTGAATTGTTCAATCAGCAAGCTGCTCAATAGGTACACTACCAATAATTTTATCAATCCATTACATTATTTTTGCAGTAGTTTTTTTTTTTTTTTTTTTTTTTTTTTGCTATATAGAAGTCACAATTAACCGAGTAGATTGTATGTATATTGTTATTTCTGTTCATGTGTAAAAGTCCTTGGGGAGCAATGGCGGATCCACCTTTATGCAATGGTCTTTTCTTGATCCTTTTTTAATAATGATGACGATGACCATGTCCTTCCCTTTACCTATCTTTGTTGCTTGTTTGTTCCTACTTCCAACCGGACTAAGAATTTTTGATAATATAGAAGTAAATTCTTCATCCCATTTATACCTTACAATTTTTTTTGTATCAATAGCTATATTCATGTTTATGTGCACAGACTGATTAACTTCTGATCTTCTAAAAATTTTGAATCCATCATCAGTTTGGTGATCATAAGGTTTACTCTTTATGCACCTTAGAAGTCGTGGTAGACCTGATTTTCAGTTTAACATAAAATCATGATGCTTGAGGTGTTTCTTTGGGTAATTAAAAGAGCAATTTCATTTTAAAGCACCAAGTATTGCTAGATTTTCTTCACTTTGATTTACTAGACTTCGTTTATCTAATAATCTTCAAATATTGATATATTTACTCTGTGTGTATGTGATGATGTTTTACCCATTACAGACAAGATTGCAAGCACAGGCAGCTGGAGTCCCGTATCACCCTTCTGATAATAATCTTCGAGGGCATACTACACCCAATGGTGATAGAACAGTATGTTGTAGCTGCCTTTTATTTCCTCTTTTGTACTTTGGAAGAATATTTCTAGAGAACTTTAAACATTCGGCTGAACTGAGAAAGAACATTCAATTTTTCCTTATGAATGTAACGGAGACAAATTATCCATGTCTGATCAAGTTAATGAATTAAGAAACTGTATGCTTACTCCAATATTGGTACCTCTTCTCTTATAGTTGCAAGTCAGTTTTTTAGGAAGTTAGGAACTTTTAATTAATTTCAAATTCCGGTCCACCCTATGTTCTTAAAGAGGGAGTGATGAGGGCAGCATTCCATCTCCTTGCCTTCAATTTGGTTGTGAGCTTGATTTCCCAACGGTTATTTATAAACCATTTAACTTGTTAGAGCTAAAGCAGCTCTCTTCGAATCTGCTGAAAGCCCCTGCCCCAAAGGAGCATCCTGACATGCTTACACGCATGAAAACACACCCATACAAATAGATTGGTTGACAACAGAACAAAACCTACCCACTCTCCGGTGAACATTCTTAGACATATTGCTGACGCGGTACCTAATCATAGTGCTTGTGAATCAGGGAAATACCATGTTGTTTATTTTTATTTTATTTTTGGCTTTTTATTTTCTGAGCTTTGGTGATACAAGTTGCTGTGCGAGCACCTTTGATCGTGGAATTATCAAAGATGTCTTTGTGAAGAAAATAGTAAAACAGCAGAACAATTCAATATGGCGAATGAAAATACTTTCTCTAGATTATGAAGAACAATAAATTATAAATCTCTCTTTCCTCACAATCTCTCTAGAATAAAGAACAATCTCTCTATTCTCTCTCTCTCTCCTTCAAAACACCTCTCAAACGCCTTCTATTTATATGAAACCCTAAATCAAAACAGATTAGGAAAACCAACTGTCAACCAGCCCAATTATCGGTCGACCAATCTAACCCATCGGTCGATTGATCGCAAATGTGCACAACGTGCACGACTTTATCGGTCGACTGTTCCTCTTAGCAGTCAACCGAGCAGAAAGTCTTCCATAACTCAGGGTTTTATTGGTCGACCGATCCTTTTATCGATCGACCGATAAACTCATCCCGAACTCCGGGATCATCATCGGCCGATCGACGCAAGTCATCAGTCGATCGTTAAAAAGTTTTTTCTGTGTTTTCCAATCTGCGTTTTGCCAGTTGTACTGACCCGTGTTTCTATTCTCAAACTACCTTAAGAATCATCTATTATCAAACTCCCATGAGGATCGCTAAGCTCCCGAGGCAGAGAAGAGTCACCTATATCATGACTTCCCCCTTTAGGAACATGAAGTCTCATTCAAGTTAGAACTTTAACTGAGGAAACTCTCAAGCTCCTCCTTCTTTGTTGAACCACTTGGCTTTGCTAGGAACCTGACTTTGACGTCCAACTAGAAATGATTCCTTCGTCCCTCGTCTAGTCGTAGTCACCTTCCGCTCCAATATACAATCCTCTTTTAGTGGTTTTTCTCTATCAAATCACAAGTCTTCAACATGCGGTAAGATCACTGTAGGCTGTCTAAAAATCACAATAGATAGATGATCCCCCATCAAAACACCGATGATGGAAGTTACAATCTGACGATTTCCAGAAGGCTACAATTTGAGGACTTTCACGTAGAAGGCTACAATCTGACGATCTTCACGATAACTGATGAAAGCTCTAATTCAACAGCATTCATAATCAACATCGGGAGTTACAATCTGACGACTCTCATATTTTCAAAGAGCCAAGACGAAGGTTACAAGGTGACGATCTTTGCAACGCTTCAGCAAAAGAGACTACAAATTGACGGTCTCTTCATATTAGAATGCAGATATCTCTCAAACCGTAAGGAATTTGGCGAAACAGAGGAAGCGAACCGAAGCCTTCGGCCTGGTTCGGATGGCCCCGTCTCGTCGAGATAGCCGATTTTCATATATAATTCGTCTAATTCCGACTTACGGTTTGAAAGTTATGACCTGTTCTTCGTAGCAAGTTATGCTCTGAAGTCCGTCTGCAAGACTGGACTTCATCAGAACATTGGACTTAGCCTGAAGCTCGCCAAGCCCGCTTAAGGTTCGCCTCTGCATTACAAAGTCAAAGCGCACAGGTCGAACCAGCGTTATAACCTCAAAACGCAGAGTTGATCTCTAAAACAGCACGAACTGTGCGTTTTTCAGCCTGAAACAGGCTTAACTCTGCGTTTTCAACATCAAAACGCAGAGTTAATCTCTAAAACAGCACGAACTGTGTGTTTTCAGCCTAAAACAGGCTTAACTCTGCGTTTTCAACATCAAAACGCAGAGTTAATCTCTAAAACAGCACCAACCGTGCGTTTTCAGCCTTTAAACAGGCCAAACTCTGCGTTTTCAGCCTAAAACGCAGAGTTAATCTCTAAAACAGCACCAACTGTGCGTTTTCAGCCTTTAAACAGGCCCAACTGTGCGTTTTCAGGCCTAACTCTGCGTTTCAGGTCCAGAAACGCATAGTTCGGGTCCAGAACGCTGTTTTCAGCGTTTTGACTCGTTCAAAGCACTAACAGATCGGTTTCAAAACCGTTTTCCCCACGATTGAGGGAGCTGTTTAAGAGGGGGGCGGTTACACCCCCACTCAGCCCATTGAGGAGCAAATTAAGGGGGCAGTTACCACCCGTAACCCCCTATAAATATCAGAAACTCAACTGAATTCGGGGCTTTGGCTCTGGGCTATTGGATCCTTCTTTTTTGGGCAGCAAAGAGGAGATCTTTGGCTTGGTAGCAAGGGGGAGATCGACGTTCATCCTCAGCAACGATCGACCACAGGAGCATTAACCGAACTTTCGGTTCAAATCAACTCTTTTTCAAGAGTTCAAACTCGTTCAGAGTTATCAACTCGATCAGAGTTCAAAACTTGCTCTGCAAGTTCTTCTAAAACTCGTTCAGAGTTATCAACTCGTTAAGAGTTATTTTCAAACTTGCCACGCAAGTTCTCCACAGCGTCAAATCGTGAGGAGAAAATCACGTTCCAGTGAATCAAGCCGTGCGGATCGTCAACGAGAAGCAAACTCGACGCGAGCATTCGAGGGAGGCATCTCATCGCCACCGTGAAGAACCCAGAATTAAACAAAGGGGAGAATCAAATTCATTCTCCTCTCTTTTGTAATCGGAATCCAAATTGTAATTGATTTTGAGAGGAATACAAGTTAAATTTTTCTTTCATTGTCTTTTTACTGCAAATTTCCAACAAACAAACGATGGCGACTCCGCTGGGGATGAGCTTCTCTGACGAAGAAGTGGTGGTGCAATCCGATGTTCATCTCACTGGAACGACCATTGAAACTCTGATTATCGAGTTTGATCAAGCCAAGTACGAGGAGGCCATCTCCTCTGGATCCCTTAGCCCCAAGGCTATGCGCAAGATCCACAAAGTTTCTGAGGAGACTAAAGCTCCAGTTGTAGCTAACTCATTTAAAGACTATCTCCCATGGGGGTCGCACTGTTCATACAGTCCCCTCTCTAAAGGAGAAGACTCGATTTCGGCACAACGCCAAAAAAGCCAATCTTCCAATCAACGCGAACTCCGCGTTTGCGAGCCTCAACATGAGCTCTGCATAAGCCAAGCTAAACGCAACAGGAGTGCGTTTCAGAACTCAAACGCAACTCTCAGGAGTGCGTTCTATCATTTAAACGCAGATATCAAACCTGCGTTGATCTGGCTGAACGCAACTCTCAAGAGTGCGTCCCAGAACCAAAACGCAACTCTCAGGAGTGCGTTTCACAAATTGAACGCAACTCTCAGGAGTGCGTTTCAGAATCCGAACGCAGGTCGCAGGATTGCGTTTTACTAGCAAAACGCAGACTTTGGTCTTGCGTTAATCAAGCTAAACACGACCCTCATGTTCCTTCTTTGGAACACGATGTGATTCGTCGTGTTCAAAATGATCAACATGGATTTAAAATTCATGTTTACCAAGAACCAGTCCCATCCTTTAATGGACAGGGGGTTCCATCTTTACCCTCACGCTCCGTGAGAGGTTCATCCCAAGTCTCTGACTTGCGGGAATTGCTGTCGATACCGACGAATGTCGTTTTGCTCAATAATCGACGACATCCTTACAGGAAGAAGACTTTAGCGGATGAATATATTGGAGTCACTTCTAACATGGTTGGTAGAGGGAGATCATCAACCTTTAGTTCTGACGAGTCACAGACAGATCATTCTCCAAGCGTCAGAGAAATCACTAATGAGTTTGAAGGAATCTACCAACGTACTCGGACTCGAACATGAGCCATTCCTCCTATCAACTATCGAAGTTTAGCCAGAGGAACTAATTCCGATGACGAACACTCAGCCATTGCGGAGTCCCAATCATCAAGCTATTTCGTTGGACATGAGAGCTTCGCCCACATGGCAGAACATTCTGAAGACCTTTCAAAGAGACTTGATGAACAGGAGGCCATGCTCAAATCTCAGTAGGAGGCCATCAATGAACTCATGGCTATGTTGACTCAAATCATCGCAGACAAGGCCAAATCTCAGAAGACAGATCCGCCGCTTAGGCAAGAATTTTCCTGGAGAGGAAAAGCGTCTTCATCCCGACCTCACACAAGCAAAAGGAAGGGAAAGGAAGGGAAAAGTGGTTGATGATACAGCTTCTGACCAAGAAGCCCACAACCTGGAATCTTCCTCTGATGAAGGAAGAGAGACTGAGAACGAGCAGAATCTTCAGTCTGCCAAAATGGAAGAATTGGAAGCCCGCCTTAAAGCCATTGCTAACAGAAGCGAGCTCCAAGATGCCCCTTATCCTCCAAAATTTGAGGTCCCGACGTTACAAACTTTTGACGGCGCGGGATCACCGAACCAACATATTTATCATTTCAAGTCACAGACTGGAAATGTAATATCAAACGATGCCATACTGGCTCGATTGTTCATTGGCACCCTCAAGGGAATTGCCTTTGAATGGTTCAGAAAACTGCCTGCGGGTTGTATCCAAAAGTGGGCGAATCTAGAGAGATTCTTCCTGTCAAG